ACTTGTCGCAGTTCCTGCATTGAAGTCGTTAGACTACATATCTAACCGTGGGAGTACAAAACAAACGGGCAAGCACAATTATTCACTTACCCAACTTGGAGGATCGTACATAGTAAATCCGGCCTGCGGATTGACGCGGAGGAATTCCTCCTTTTCTCCCTTGTACAAAGAGGATAAGATCTTTACTAGGGCGGCAGCTGAGGCCGGCCCCTTACGACCGTAACGTGTGGCGTCATCCTCCCCGTTGAAATCCCACATGGGGTGGCCTCTATATTGAAGCGGCTGCACCCCCCGCATAATGCATGCGGCCATGACTCCAGTCATGGTTAGTCCGGAATGAGCCAACAGTCTTATCCGGCCCGTCAAGTGAAGGACGTCTCTGTCGCTTTCTCTCTGAGAGCTCCGCGGACGCCAGCTCAAGCGTTTCTTCAATGGAGCACTGTTGAACTCAGGGAGACCGACCCGGATAGGGTCCGGTAGCGGGACGTCATCTATATAAAACCATTCCGAAGGCCAGTCCTCAAACGCCTTCTTTGGGATTCCGGATAGGTATCCGGTCCCGGCGATGCACCATACTTCGGCTCCGTCCACTTGGTATATAGACCCCTTTTGAGAACGGGGCACCAGGCATAATAACCTCTTCCACAGCGCGAAATGAGCCTCTACGCCTAAAAATAGCTCGCAAAGGGCGACGAAACCCGCAATATGCAATACGGAGGCGAGCATGAGATTGTGCAGCTGGAGGCCGTAGAACTCCAGAAGCCCGCGGAGAAATGGATGAATTGGAAATCCCAGTCCCCTTATTAGATAGGGGACGAGGCACACCCGCTCTCCTTTAGAAGGATTGGGGGTGCTCTCCGCTTGTTTTCCGCCATTATAGGTGGCGAGACCGGCTCGGACCGGGACCATGTATGCCGGAGGGAGAAATCCCTTGGCCTGAAGTGACGCTAACTTGCTATGGGGGATGGTGCAACTCTCCCAGTCCCCGGGTTTGGGACCGGAGGGGCGAGGGGAGGAGCTGTGACGGCTGGTCATGTTGGAATGGACCTTTGCTGGAAGCGCTCTGATGATAACTCGCGGAAAGGAGAAGATGTGGTTTGGACCTAAATGCCCACCCATTAAATAGGTGGCTCGTTTATACGGCTAGGGGCGTGGATGTAAACACGCCCTGGCTTTTCGCATTCGTTTGACACATGGAAGATGGCCATTATTGGACGTGGAAGCCGAGGAACACTACATTACGAAAATCGGACATTATTCCTACAAGTACACAAGATTTGGAGAAGAACCCACCTTCCAATGCCGAACAATCTGCGCGCCGGACTCGTCGTCATTGAAGCCTGGTTCGGGGGCTACTGAGGGAGTCCTGGATTAGGGGGTGTTCGGGTAGCCGGACTATACCTTCAGCCGGACTCCTGGACTATGAAGATACAAGATTGAAGACTTCGTCCCATGTCCGGATGGGACTTTCCTTGGCGTGGAAGGCAAGCTTGGCGATGCGGATATTCAAGATCTCCTACCATTGTAACCGACTTTATGTAACCCTAACCCTATCCAGTGTCTATATAAACCGGAGGGTTGTAGTCCGTAGGCAATCAACTCCATACACAACAATCATACCATAGGCTAGCTTCTAGGGTTTAGCCTCCTTGATCTCGTGGTAGATCTACTCTTGTACTACCCATATCATCAATATTAATCAAGCAAGAGTAGGGTATTACCTCCATCGAGAGGGCCCGAACCTGGGTAAAACAAAGTGTTCCCTGCCTCCTGTTACCATCCGGCCTAGACGCACAGTTCGGGACCCCCTACCCGAGATCCGCCGGTTTTGACACCGACACAGTGCACTCGCTCAGTCCTCATGATGTCTTTAGCCCCTTCAGGAGTGACTTGTGCAACCTTGGCTTTATAATAGTTGAAATCTTGCCTGTTGGAAGCCTTAGCAACTGGCCAGAATTTCTTTTGCCACTCATGATTTCTATGTTTCTTCCTCCAATTAGCATAAATGTGCCTAGCACACATCCTATGATCTGCAGCAGGAAGGTAATCATTCACTGCATTTATCAAGCCCTTCTGCTGATCAAAAATAATAACCCAGCCAGCTCCATTATTGTTTATTTCCAAGTCCTTAATGAGTATCCGAACAAACCACTTCCATGTGATATTAGTTTCATTCTCAACTACATCCCAGGCTAGTGGATACATCTGATTATTTGCATCTCTACCTATGGCACACAATAGCTCACCCTTCACTGCAGCTTTGAAGAAACAACCATCAAGGCCTATTACTTTTCTGCAACCAGCCTTGAATCCTTGCTTCGTTGCATTAAAGCACACATAGAAGCTCTGGAATACACTTACCTCCATGTTGGTTGGATCTATGCAAACAGCAACTGTGCTTTCAGGGTTGCTCCTTAGCAGCTCAAGTTGGTAGTCAAACACTCTAGTATATTCATTGTTCATTCAACACAATAATTTGTCCATGACAATTCTTTTTGCATGCTTGCACTTTGAAGTGGAGACATCAGCAAACATATCTTGCAAAACAGTTGCTTTCATGCTCTCAATTTTCCACATAGGATTTGCCAATATGAAGTGCTCATAACTCTGTGCAATCACCTTTGCAGTAACCAACTTGTTGCATCTGTTATGTGCACATTGGTGATCATCATTATATGTTATGACTTGGAATCTTGAAGTCCTTGATCTCTTGGCTGCATATATCAGCCATGGGCAGCCAGGCCATCCACACTTTTCCCTTACTCTGTCACACTCAGATTTCATGAACTTGATGCTCCTCTTTGTTACTAGTCCATATCTTCTCAAAGCTTTGCACAGCTGATTCTTGCTTCTAAAAACCATGGTCAAAGCAAAATGTGGTACTTCACTTTCAGGGTTGTATCTTGGGAATGTACTCTTCCTCTTTCTTATATGACCATCTGAATCTTCATCATAGCTGTAGTCCTCATCAGATGAATCATAGTTCCAATCCATTTCTTCTCTTTCAATTTGCTCCTCCATGTTGGCAATCAATTCAATTGGCACTGGCCCTGTAGCATCCCTACCTATCTAGCTCTTGGAGTCCCTCATCCTTTTCTTAAATTTCCTAGCATGTCTCCTGAGCTCCACAACTTCTGAATCCTCCCCACTATCATCAGTATGTCCAATGTATTTAGTGTCACTGTCTGAGTCTGAATTTTGATTGCCACTGTCAACATTTGCAGCTATCACCATCTGGTTATTGACATGCCCTGAAGCCTGAGGTTCAGAAGCACGGGTTGATGCAGGTTGACTTGGATCCAAAACCTGAGAAAAAACTCCTTCCATGCCTGCCATTTCATCCACATCTACTTCTCTGGCATTGCTTCTTCTCTGCTTCAAGGGGCTGCAAATTCTTTGAGTGATCACACCAGTTTCATCAGGTATGAGCACATCAGTGTCAGACTTTGCAGGTTCAACACCAGTTACTGCATCTGGTTCATCAGCAGTTATAACTGCATCTGGTTCTTCAGTGGTTATAACTGTATCTACTTCATCATCATCACTCTGTTCCATGATTTCATCCTCAAAATCACTCCCACTGCTGTTGTCATTGCTATCTTCCTCTCCATGATACTCCACATACACATCAGCAACTCCTCCAACACAAATGTACTCAGCCATCTTCACACACCAATTGTCATCATTAAGGAACACTAAGCCATTGATAAGCTCTTTTCCAGGAAGCAGAAAATAGAACTTATCTTTTAAATAGCCTTTCACTTCCTGCAAAGACAATTTATCCCTCTCAATCTCTAACATTGCTTGATCTCCTCCAACATAGTCCAAATTTGGACCAATGCGGATGAACTTCCCTCCAATATGAAACCGAACGTTCAAAATCTCACTTGAGTCCATGATTTCACTGAAAAAACATACACCGCGATCAAAATAAAGCATAACAACCTATTCCCTTCACAAAAAAATCAATCTTTTTGCGTCACCCAAATCGTCCCCAAATCTGCCACTGAAACCCTAACCCTAATGCCGCAACTACTCCAACCTATGAATAACAAGGGAGGAGGGCATCCAGGACATTACCTTCTTCTTCGACGCGCCGTCGCGCCGTCACGATCGTCCCTGAGGTGGCGATCAACCGCCGGTCGCCATTGCCGTCGCCAGAGAAGGAAGAATTCAGGGGGACGCTGAGAGAACGAAGCGAAATGACGGGCCAAACTGGGCCGGCCCACTAATATCGCCTCAGCCGCGCGCCGAACGACCCATCCCGGCCATCCCATTGCCACGTCGGCAATCCCCGTTTGGGAAGCGACACTAAGGTTTGATTTGGACCGGGATTAATTAGTTCAGGGTCAGAACGACAGGGATTTCGACTTCAGGGTTTGATTCGCCGGACGTCTACGAATTCAAGGTTTAAAATGGACTTTTTCCTCTAGGGAGTGGCGTATGTGAGACTTGGTTAGGCCACTTCCATGAGTTTGTACTGAACTGGTTAGGCCACTTTCGTGAGTTTGTACTGAACTCTGTTGCTGGCGATTTAGCCAGTTTGTCATCATAAGGAATACTAGTCTGTTCCTTTCAAAAAAAAAGGAAGATCCCCTAGTAAAAACCAGAGACAAATTACCCATGCCGCTGCATGTCAAGGTCATCGCGGCCCAGAACCATGCACCGACGTCCTATCCAGCGATGCCGTCGAGCATCGCCTGCCAAAGACCGCACCCTCTCTGTCACGAAAATGTTACGTGTGTTGGCCATGCCTGCACTTCACGGCAACTATCTGCAACTAAGCATGTACAACATGATATATGCGTGTCTCACCACGGACCACTTCATGTTTGTTTTAGAACTAGAGAGACGACTTGTTAGCTGACTCATGCAAAAAAATAACAGCGATCGAACATTTGTAAACCAAGTTGCACGTCCCAAAAAGCTTCATTGACTAACACCGATGCAACTAATTAACCCACACACGAACTGCACAATTACAGTTTACACTCAGTCTCTCAGTTGAAGAGGTTCAGCAGCGGGGGCGCCCCGGCCTCCGCCGCGTCGCCGCTGGCTTCCTCGCAGCACGTCGTGGTGGAGTACTCGTCCGACGCGCCGCCTCGCCTCCCGCCGGCCAGCGGCGACGACAAGGGCGTCAGGCAGAGGTCCAGCTCGCACGACTGCAGCACCGGCCCCGGCCCCGGCAGCTTCACCTGCTGCTGCCCTCCTACGGCGCCGCAGCCGGGGCTGTTCTTGCTCCGCTTCCTGGCGGGCGCGGACGTGGAGTTCTCCGGCGAGGAGTGGAGGGAGGAGGAGCTGCCGGTGTTGGTGCCGACGTTGCCGTAGAGGCCGGCCATGTCGCGCTCCGTGAAGGCGGCGGGCACGGCGGAGAGCGAGCGCAGGGAGTCGCCGCGCAGCACGGCCTCGGCGGCGGCCTGGCAGAGGTCCCAGTTGCTGGTCCACATGAGCCCGATGGCGCCGCTCACCGGGTTGATCGTCCGCCCACACGCCTCGTACAGAAGCGACCGGAACAAGGCTGCACCAAATGACACCACACGTTAATCACCCAATAACCCTAACATATAATTATGCCGGAATGGGGAGTATCATATATTAATATCATGCATATGATACTAGTTTATAATACTACATTCCTAATACCAACATTTATTATCATGCATGACACAAAATAATACATCATTTAATATGATACGGTATCATGATATGATACTCAAGACTTTTTCTTTATTTAATTTTATGTTATTTCATCAAAATTGCTTAATTGGCATGCATGATACTACCTATGATACTCTCATTACGGGCAGCCTAAGTATCATGGCTATTTATCAACCGAAGATTCTAGAAATCCTGAAATGTTGTCCGGACTATGCGAGTCTGTAGGAATGCATGGGTGGACGATTCAGCGCCGAAGGGGCAAAAGATATGAATTGACCTCTCGACAGAGGTCGGAGGGCAATCGCCATGATTAATTAGCATATCTCCCAGCACTCTTTAATTAAGGATTTCTGTGTTTGGCAAAGCGCAATTGGGAGCGTGGCTAAAAAGATTCTCTCCTTTAGCCAGTCTGACCCATGGGGGCGTCGGAAGGCCGCGTACCGTCCAAAAGAACGCTTAAAATAATCTACTATAACACTGCCTTCATAGATAGGTCATGTCTAAGCTATAGCCCGGCTGCGTGGGTAACATTGTTCACCGAGACGAAACCAAGGCGATGGGTTTTTAACTTTTCGTACAGGTGGCCGCGCGCTAGCTAGCTAGTTGTACTGATCACCGAGGTAAAGTTAGCCATAGCTAGCGGAGGTAAGATAAGATAAGATTGTACTGTAGTGCACTAAACTAATCGCGACTGTGATCGACAACGCCGGCCGGCCCTCGCGTAGCCTGAAGAGCTGTTTTGCGTTCTCCGCGTTCTTGACAGCCCATCTGCCCTTCCAAATATCTGCCACTACTCTACTGGATGAAGAATTGCGTTAAAAGTAAGGTAGCGAGCGAGATGGTGGTAAGTACCTGGGCGGTGGTGGAGCGGGACGGCGGCGAGGGAGGCGACGAGGCCGGCGCGGCCGAAGAACTTGGCGACGAAGACGGTGGCGTTGGCCTGCGGCTGGGCGCCGTCGATCCACTCGATGCTGGGCCGCAGCACGCAGGCGTCGCTGCACCCCTTGCGCAGCACGCGGCACCCGTTGCAGCTCATCTCGACGGATCAACCAACGGCGCGGCACTCCGTCGATCGACGGATGGAGCCTGGACAGTCGATCACCGTATCGGCCGCCGTACGCCGGAGGTGCGCGGGCGGTGGTTGAGCTGGCGGAGTACGTGCTGCAGATCTTGCTGCTAAACTGGACGTCCGTCTGTCGGTGTCGATATGCGGCGGAGAGGAGGAGTGGTAGCCTGGTAGGGAGTAGCAGAGGAGAGCGGAGACTGCCGGGGCGCTTATATAGAGGAGGGGCGATGCTTCCTTCCTGCTTGGCCTGTGGAAATGGAAATATGCATAGATGCGCCCAAGTGGGAGGCTGGGGGCCGCGGGCTCGAGGAGGAGGAGAAATATTTGGTTGGTGCTGCGGGGTTCCAATGACATTGGGCGGTTGGCGCCCCCGTGTTGCCGCGATGGCCTCGGTCCGCACCAGTCTCTGCTTTCACGGGATCTTCTACGCGTGCTCACCGCTTGCTAGCTCTGTGCCCACATGCTCAAACGAGCTTTGCTACACGTAAGATGTTACAGGGACGAGGGGTTTACAGGGTGTTGTGGCGGTTTTTAATTGGTCATTAGTAGAGGCACGAGCCCACCCACCTCCATTGAAATCGGGGGGAGGGGGGATGGGGGTGTTTATAAAGTTTGGAACGAGCCTGTAGAAACCTTTAACAGCCTATACGACTAAACATTTTTGTACTAAAACCGCAGCCCTTTGTCATCGAGTGCTAGGACGATGACCCACCCTACTTCACTGCGCTAAACGTGTATTTGTGTAACTTGATGCATATTAATTCGCTCAAAAAGATGTGGCTAAAACTTGGATTGGACTATCAAATTATTGTCTTTACTTTTTTTTGAATAGTAATTATTGTATGTATTTCTGAGCCAAGGAAGCAGTTTGCCAATTTAACTAAATATCTTAAGTCCTCCATCTGGCTAAAGTTATACTCCCTCTGTCCGGACTCCATTTCTCGGACAAGTTTTTCCGGATGGAGGGAGTACTAAGTTAGCGGACAATTAATATGAATTGGAGGGAGTATAAGGTTTTTATGTATTAATCGATGTGCCGCTCATAGTTTCCCTACACAGCCCACCTAGGCATTGTTGTCTTGGATATTAAACAGTCTTGACACCCAGTTTTCTTTACTAGAGTATTTGTTAGTTGCAAAAGGTTGAAAAATAGACATGCACTCTCTAGCACGGTTGTAAAGACCTCCTGGAGTGGGGTTATCGACCAAGGCTCGAATCATGGCTCTAAAAAAAGTAGCCCTCGTTGTGTATATTGACGCCGCATAAGCGGTCGGATCCTTTTCTTGACCTTACATTGCAATGCCATAGGGTTGTCTCTATGTTAGGGTCGAGTAAAAATTTTTTTGAAAGGCTACAGACTTTTGTAGAAATTTAGAAAAATTTGTTGAAATAACCTTGGTTGTTTGGATGGGCCGGGTATGGACGGTCGAGCACCCTCGAATATGCCGGAGTTGCGATGTTTACCTATGGTGCAAGCAGTGAGGATAACAGGTAAGGATCCTCTGTTGTAGCGCACCGTTTATGTGGACCGAGCCCCACGTGTCATTCACACTACAACATTGTACAATACTACAAATGATCTCAATCCGAGGATAACAAGCCCCTCCGCATGCATGCATGCATGCATGCAAGGGCTTATCATTTCTCGAGTTTTCCCTTGGCACCTGTGCCGTGTGCTAACTCTCAATTCGGCTTGAACAATTAACGCCGAGATACGATATGGTTTCATTTCATCCACGTAAAACCGCATTGCACGCTTCGTCCTAAGTCCTAACCGAAACACGCATGCGTGGCTGGGGCAGCGGGGGCAGCAGAGGATCCCGGCAGGCGGCAGCAGTGGAGTTCTAAGCCGGACGTCTGATTAATTTAAGCCAGGGAAGGAGGCCTGTGGATAGGAACAAAGTGAGGAGGCAAAGCACAAAAGAGAGTTCGGAGCGACGAAAGCTACGGCCCGGTGCGGGGCCCCGGGAGCGAGCGAGGGGCGGGCGGGTGGCCGTGGTGGAGTTGGAATGGAGTCGGCTTGGCCCTGCCCTTTGGGCGGCGCCAAGGGCCGAGGCCGCCGCTCCTCCAACATCCCCGGCAAAACCAACCCCGGCTCCATCCATCAAAGCCTGGCCCTTCGACCCCGACTCGATTCACCCGTACATTCCCATTCCCTCCCCGCTCCGGGATCGTGGCTCCTCTCTCTCTCACACCCGCGCGTGTATCTGGCATTCTGGCCTGGGTGCAACTAGCTGATTTTTATATGCACCAGCTTTTCCTTTCGGCTGCCCATTTTCTTCTACGACGGTACGAGTGGTGGGCCATTCTCCGAAGCCTTTAGTTTGGAGTAGTGGCGGGGTGTGTGTGCTGTGGTTCGTTCCTGTTGCTGGTCGACGGGTGCGGCGTGACGTACTGACGTGCGCCGTCGGGCGACGGAAATGAGATGGGAGGGCCAGGTCGGGTCGGGTCAGGTCAGGTGCATGCAGGATCGGTCACATCCCGTGTGACTGTGCGTGTGGGCACTCGGGTTTTTGCTATATGTGGACGTGGGGCACGGGCACTCACAGGAAGAAGAGGGAGCGTGGCAACTGGACCGCGCGAGCGAGCGAGCCGCAAAGGAGAACTGGATTCCCTCTCGTTGACTCCGGCGTCGTCGTGAGCAGCTTCGGTTCCCGGGGTGTGCCACGGCCCACGGGACCCGCCGGGTCAGGGCGGCGGGCCAGGCCGGGCCGTGTTTATACAAGGGGGCGGGGCGGCCTGGCCGACGACGATGACGCTGCTGAATCAGCCTCGTCGTTGTTGTCGTCGTCGGAGACGAACGTACAGTACTACTGGGCCAGCATTAATTGCGATACGTCGCTGACAGAGCTTCAGCACAACGAAGCGAACGAGGTGCACGCTTCTTGCACTGACGTCGTTTGCTGCCTGCCTCGTCGCACCGTCGCAGTGCGATACAGCTGCGGCGACGACGAGAGGGAAAGAAGATCAAGAGGCGATCGTCTTAAAGCGTTTACAATCGGACTCGGACCCCTTAGATCCACGTCAAACGCAGATAATCCGGTCACGGTTCGGATGGGAGGGAAAAAATGGTCATCCAAGCAGACCCTCAAATTGGGACGCAGCTATCCTCAACTCAAGCTCATATGCACTCTAATGAACAGTAGAATAAAAAAATAGTAAAAAAAATCTGAATTGTTTTTAGCGCAAACTTTGACAAACGTCCGAGTTCCTGGAATTCATCCCGAAATAACATTCGTCGAAGTGATGGTAAAGGTGAATAAAATCGACACTCCAAAAATGCTATTTTCGGAAGCATTTTGGAGTGTGTGTTTTTTCATGACTTCCACGAATATTATTTAAGGATGAATATTTACAAGCGCCGAGAACATTTGTCAAAGTTTGCACTTTTTTTCTTCCATTTTTCAGAATTGACTGTTCACCCGGAGCTCAAATGAGCTCACAAGTAGAAGGGGACTTTCGCTCAAATTGTTCGTATATGGCCGGGCTGTCCGAAAACGTCATATTTAGGGAGGATATAAGGGTGTTCGGTCAGTTTACCACCTATGATTTGGCCCACCCTAGACCACTTTCTCTCCCTTTGTTTATATTTTTCTTTTTCTTTTCTTTTTATCCCAACCAATCATATGCATGTGACTCAACATTGTGACGCCCTCGATTCAATCGTACACTAATCATACACGCAAATGTGTACGATCAAGATTAAGGACTCACGGGAAGATATCACAACACAATTCTAGACACAAAATAAAATAATATAAGCTTTATATTACAAGCCAGGAGCCTCGAGGGCTCGAATACATAACCTCAAAAACACAAGAGTTAGCGAAAGCAACAATATGTGAGTACAGACATAAGTTAAACAAGTCTACCTTAAGAAGGCTAGCACAAAAGCAACAACGATCGAACATGCAAGGCCTCCTGCCAGGGAGCCTCCTAACTACTCCAAGTCGTCAGCAGTCGTCACGTTGTAGTAGGCACCCTCGGGGTAGTAGTAATCATCAGTGGTGTCGTCTGGCTCCTGGGACCCGTCATCTGGTCGCAACAAACGGGTATATGAGAAAAGAGGTAACAAAGCAACCGTGAGTACTCATCCAAAGTATTCACAAGACTTACATCAGATCTAAACTAAGTATGCATCTGTATCAAAGAAAAAGGGTTGTATCTGTGGACTAAACTGCAGAATGCCAGAAAAGAAGGGGAAAGACTAGCCTATCGAAGACTGGCATCTTCAAGCATCTTGCAGCATATAGAAGAGTACAGATCGACATAATGTAAAGTAGTAATAGTGTTATCAACCTCGGCCATAGATCCTTTCTCGACTCCCTGTGAGAAAGCAATCCCAGAGCCATACTATCCATTTCTCATAACCATCTCTCATCTCAAGTATCCAGTTCTAGTTGTATCGATCGGGATGCAACTCCAAGTGTCTGTTACCGTAGGACAGGCTATCGATAGATGTTTTCTTCCCTGCAGGGGTGCACCAACTTACCCACCACGCTCGCTTAACTCCGTCCGGACACACTTTACTGGGTCATGCCCGGCCTCGGCCAAACAATACGCCGCAACCCGACCTAGGCTTAATAGAGAGGTCAAGCATGCCGGACTAAACCTATGCCCCCAGGGGTCTTGGCCCATCGCCTCGGGAACTCCTGCACGTTGCATGGGCGGCCGGTGAGCAGACCTAGCTACCTCCTTAAAAAGGCAGGAGCTTACCCGTCCAACCCGGCGCGCGCCGCTCAATCACATGACGTCTATTAACCTTCGGTTGATGCATACGACGCAGAACGCCCATACTATGCCCACGTGATGGTTAGTGCTATCAGGCCAGAGGCCCCTCGGATCAAATATCCAAATCATAGTGGATTAGGAACACGCGGTAACAAGCAGAGACTCACGAAAAATGTGACCACGTCGCCCCGTCTCGAGTACTTGCGGCAAGGGCTAAGAATGCCCGGCCACGCCTCGTA